GCTGCAGCCGCGCTGCCCAGCCTGCCAGAGCAGCTCCAGCCAGGTCAGAGACATCCTCCCCTGGCCCATCCCAGATAAGGTGGGACGGGGGAGAGTGTGGGGGTCCCGGGCAAGGGGTGGGGTCATGTAGGGGGTGGTCACAGGGGTTACTCCCCTGACCCCCCACTTCTCCCCCCCCCCCCCCCCCAAATTTCCCCACCAGTTGCTGTCCCGGCCCGTCAGGGTAAGCAGCTGGTGTGCCGGGACACTTTGTTTACTTAGGTTTACCTCCATGCCTGCGGACGCTCAAGGTAAACAAACCATCTCGGCCCGCCAGCGGCTTATCCTGATGGCCCGGGAGCCAAAGTTTGCTGACCCCTGATTTATAGAGTCGGCTTATGAACGAGTTATAAAAATTTTCCATTTTTACTTATCTATCTTGGGGGGAGTCGGCTTATAAACGAACCGGCTTATGATCAATTTCTGTAATTTTAGATGTATCATTATAGGATCTTTTTTGGAGCTGGTTTACCTACTTGGTCTCTTTCTTTGTCCCAAGAGGGAATCAACAAAGAGAGCACAAACAAAACCTTCCTCCCCTTTTCTCCCCCTCCCCCCCCCAGATTTGAAAGTGTCTTCTTTCCCCATTGGTCCTTCTGGTCTGGTGCCAACTAGGTTAATTGAACTGATTAACCCCTTACACGTAAGTGATTCTGTACCTCTGGCCAGGAGGGATTTTGTTACTGCATACATAAAGGTTGTTACCCTTCCCTTTATATTTGACATCTCTGGAGACACAAATCCACAGTTTGAGAACTGCAAAACTAAGCATCTCTGATGGTATCTTCTAGACTGAACACTTGCATAGATAGAAAGATTAACCTAAATAATCTATACAGAAGCCCCTGGAACTCCATAAAATTGGGTCCCTAATCCATGAACTATTGGAACTCATTTACAAAACTTTTCTTAATCATTACCTGAATATATTGTCTCATACTATAGAATTAGAATTTATAATCCCTATTCCATGAGGCATCTAATGTTTTGTTCAGGACAAGTTAGGTGAGAAAAGGCCTTATCCACCATATTACTGCCTGGTGTGTCTGTCTCTGCAGTGGCTTTCCCTTTTATTTTGATTTTTCTTTTCCTTGAAGGAATACCCAGACGTTTTTCTCCCCTTCTCTTTTATTTTACCTCCCTTTGCTGAACGGTGATGGCATTGGTGAGTTAGACTGGTTTCTTTCCTTCTGCAGTCTCTCCAGATCCTAAGCCCACACAGCCTAGTTTCAGTCATCCCAGAGAACTTCAAGTGACTACCTTATAAAAGCCAAAATCTTCCCTCAAAGTAAAGTAAAATAAAATAAACCTAGCTGGGCTTGATTCTCTGCACCCATTCTCACAGAATTAATCAACAGGGTTGACGAATCAAAATGTTACAAGAAAAAGACAAAGAAGGCAGTATAGCCATCTTCAGTATGACACCTCAGATTCTACATCACTCAAGGAAGGAGATTTGTTAGAATCTGATTCTGAAGTCTCAGATTCCCTCACAGAACAGTCTGTTTCCTCATGAATATTTTAAAACCACAGTAAGGAGACACTGATCTTAGTTATACCTCCAGAATAAACCAAGCAGAAATCCAGTCTCTTTATAGGGGAAATATTTCCCCTCCAGCTCAAAAATTGAAACTTATTTCCCATCAGTGCAGTTGTTGAGGAAGTGATCAGTTCAGAATGAAAATAGCCATTGAAAGAAGTGCCTTAATAGACATCTCATGAAATATTATAAATTCCAGGATTAAAAAAATCTACCTACTGTTTGGTGCAGATACCAGGGATGTGGCTGTGACTGCTGAGGCAAAATAAATGGTCATGCCCATTGACAGATTCTTCCCCTTCCCCATTGACAAAGTGGACTGGAAAATAGAATTCTCATTGTGTAGGAATAATTAAGCCACAGATGAATCTCTTCTGTCTGGCCATCTATTTTGCTTGAATATATCTAACATGGTTTAGAGGACTGCTCCCACTGAAAGACAGAGACAGCCTTTCTTAACATGAAATCGGTCACAGCATCCTTCAAGGAAAATGCCACTGTGGATTCAATCACAATGTCCACCTGGTCAAACGCATCCAGTGCAATTACTAGGACACCCATGAATCCTGTCCGGAGAGCAGACAAGCAAGCAAAACAACTTGTGGCTTCCATTTCTTTTTGCAGCTGAAAAGGTGAGAGAGACTAGGCAAAGTGTGTGGTGGAAATTCAGAAAAGGAAATCTTTCTGCTGTAGGGTGCCATAAAAGGGATTTCAGACAGTTCCATTTGTTTTCTACTATGATCACTCCAGGATCAACAGAAGAGGTCAGACACCAAACATTGGAAGATATGGAAACAGGAATTTCATGGGAGGAAAGTCCTGGCAGGAGCGTGTGCAATCCTTAAGCGCAACAAATGCCCAGGCTCTCCACTTGGGAGAAGCAGCAGATCCCTGTCTGACTAGCAGATCTCTCTCTTTCTCTCCCTCTTTTCCCCCTCCCCCATGTGAAAGAACTCCATTGTAGACAGATGGGTTCTTATGATAGAAGAGCAAGGGTATTTCAGTCTGAAAAGTTCCCAAAAGATTGCTGCATTACAGACATTTAAAAAAAAATAAATCTTCAAAACAAACTGGGTTGTTCTTGGCAGTAGAACCACTACTTTCCATTGGGACTGTAGAACCAGTTCCCCAAAGGAGAAGTTATCCAACTTCTCTTTTACTGTGCAGAAAAGGTCTGGAGTGATCAGGCCCTTATTGGACATCAAAGATCCTCAAGTACAGGGGATTCCAAATGGAGACTCTTTCACACTGAGTATTTATCAAAAGTGATTTTCTCATTCCAATTGGGTGCATGGATGTGTCTCAAGATTTGCCTTCTCTCACTCATATTATCATTAGAGGCCCTATATTTTGACCATAAGTATTTCCTAAAGGTTCTAGTCACTCATTGCCAAACTTTGCTCTGGAGAATGTGAATGTAATGCATTCCTGGATCACTTCCTCATTTGGAATATGAATGAGAACCACAGAGATCGCTTTGAGAACACTGCAGGAACAAAGATTTTTCATCAATAATTAGAAAAGCATCCTACTTTCCACTCAATTCTACAGCTGGGAGAAATTGTTTATACTTCCAAAGGTATCATGTATCTCTTAGCAAACAGTCTGACAAATTAAAGTCTGTAATCTCAAAGATACACTTTGGAAATACTTGTGGTCTCTTGTTGGTACTATGTGAACAGTATACAGTGTATTGTATATCATATTGATATGAAATTAAAGAATGTGTGTTCCTATATTTGAAGCCCTAAATGGTTTAGGTCCTCACTATTTGAGAGACCTCCTGCCTCTCTGATGTATCCACATCTGTTACAGTCATGTGAGGTGCTTCCTGGGATGGGAGGGGGTTACTGGGGCTGAGGAGGCCTTCTCAGTGTGATTGTGATTAAACACCTTATGAGTTGAATACAATAGTTGTGTGTTAATTTTGTTGTACCAATAAAGTGGAAGCCAGTGGAGTAGTGCTTGGTTTTGATAAGTTATGGTACTATGTCTGTGGTGTTAAAATTGTGTAAATGTTTAAAGGGCTTGAGAGAAACAGTAATAAATTGAAACAAATGAAGCTACTTTGCTATTTGGCCATTTAATAATTGGCAGATTGTCAAAATACAAGTATTCAGTATTCATGCAGACAAACTCTGTTGCATGCACTTAACCCCAGATTTGTGCATGTAGATAAAGGATTGAGCAGATGCAAAACTGTGCATACTGAAAATCTGACCCATACTGTGTAGGATTTTGCATTACTTGTGAGGTAGATTTTTTGTGCTGTGTGTATGTTGTGTGATGTAGACGAGGCAAATGTATCATTGTTGTTGGTGCATGTACCTATACAATTTGGAAGTAAGAAATTTTAACTAGATCTGCTCCTTCAAAATTAATTGTAGATAAATAGCAATGGAGAGCTGCATTTTCCATATAAAATCCTGGTGGTAGTTGGGGTGGAGGTATTAGGGAAGGAATCATAATTTGATAGTTTTGAAAATCTTTTTTTCAGATACTAGAAATTAGAAATAATTTGTTAGAATTTAGAAGTAAATGAATTATTAGGGGCTCTATTTTTAGGTTTAAATGAGAAATCACCTGTTTTTCTCTCATGACTTGCTGCCATGTTACCCAGGTTGTTTGATGACATGACATTCTGGGCTAATTACAAGGCCAGTGATTCACATTTTCAATGCGGGCAGTCAAGCAGTCTCTTAAATAAGACTGGGTATTGTGGATAAACAACTAACACAAGAAAGGGGCCATTCTAGTTCCTGCCACTGCAACCACCGGAGGAGATGATGGCCCTCTCAGTTTTGTTTGTAAACTTTTTTTTTAAATTTAGTGTACAGTTTAATGAAACATACTGGATTATGTATATAAGATGCAACTGTCGATGCATATCAGTTAGATACATTTTTTTTCTTCAATAAACGTCTTGAAGAAATTACCTTAAACCAAACCTCTAAACATGTCATCCCTCTATGCTCTTCCAGGCCACATGTAAATCTAAAAATAGAACTTTCAGTCTGAAACCCACCAAATTGTTATTGTGTTATTTCATCCATTTCAAAACACAACACAACAAAACAAAATACCCCAAACCCTGAATTCAACCAAAATCAAACCCTAAAATCAGATTTTGAAAATTTAGGAATAGTATTTACTTAGTAAACAATGAGATTTTTTTCTACTTATGTCTTATTTGCATCCAACCCAATAGATGCAAACATACCAAAGCAGTCTGGAAAAAGTTTAACTCTACATATTTGTTACCTCAGTGCATTGTTGCATTTCATTGCCAAAATAAAGAAAATGAAGATTTGAGTACCTTGAAATGTATATAACCATGTCTGTCTTTGTTTTGTACTGAATATGCTGATGGCACTCAATAAACTATAAATATTATAAACCAATTGTCATCCTCATATTCTAGGAATTGTCAAGTTGTGGGTGGAATAAGAAAGAGAAGTACAGTTCTGCTCCAAATGCAGTTGCCTTCACAAGAAGATTCAACCATGTGAGTTCTTATTATAATAATGGCAACATGATTGTATGTATCAGTGTTAAAAATCATCCAAGTGGAATGTTTAATCTATATATTTTTGTCATTCACTGCTAAATATTTGGGGATTGACATGCCTGTGATGTAAACGGCTTGCTTAGGTGCAACAGTGTGATTACTTTAGTCCTGTTTAGTATCAGAGGGGTAGCCATGTTAGTCTGAATCTGTAAAAAGCAACAGAGGGTCCTGTGGCACCTTTAAGACTAACAGAAGTATTGG